TTATCAAAACCTAAAAGACAATGGGCAAAGGACATTGCAAAAATATATATTCATGATAGCACATTGTCCAACAATTTGCCCCTTTTTGATAATGACAAACCCATTAGGAGATATGCATCATACAAGGCTAGTTCCCCCTCAAGTATTGCATTATAAATCAAACAAAGACATACAAATCTATACTATCTTCCCCATTAAGATATGCACAAATACAATTCCCCCTAAATATATGCATATCCACACCATCTTCCCCCTTTTGACATTATCAAAAAGAGACGGGCAAAAAGATACATGCTCATGCAAATAGATATCTTCATGATAGCACATTGTCCAACATGACCTCGACAAGATAAGAACATGCAAGAACTCTGCAGGTCATCTCGAACACGTAACAAACTTGAATGGTACGGTTTCCTCCAAACCTATGAAGGTGACGTGTTACTTATTGAGAATGGTGAGCCTCAAACCTACCTTGAGGCAAACAGTTGCTCTAAGGCAGAGAAATGGCGTGAAGCAATGAAATCTGAAATGGAATCTATGTAAACTAATCAAGTTTGGAACTTGGTTGAAGCACCTGAAGGGATTAAACCCGTTAGGTGTACATACCTTTAAAGCATTATTGGAAGCAAAAGGTTATAAACAGATTCAAGGCGTTTGATTATGATGAAACCTTTTCTCTAGTCATGATGATTAAGTCCATCCGGATACTATGGGTATTGCAGCATACTATGACTATGAAATTTGGAAAATGGATGTCAAAACAGATTTCCTTAATGGAAATCTTCTTGAGGATGTGTACATGACACAACCTAAAGGATTTTGCATCCCTGAAGAATCTACCAAAGTATCCAAGCTGCAACGTTCAATCTATGGATTGAAACAAGCTTCGCGGAGTTGGAACATTTGGTTTTACAAAACTGTAATTAGTTACGGGTTTAAGCGAAACAATGATGAGTCATGCATTTACAAAAAGACCATTGGGAGCGCCATGGTCTTCATTGCATTGTATGCTGACGACATACTACTCATGGGGAATGACATTCCTACTCTCATGTCTGTTAAAGCCTAGTTGAGTAAGAATTTCTCTATGAAAGACTTGGGAGAGACTAGCTACGCTCTTGGCATTAGGATCTATAGAGATAGATATAGGAAGTTGATAGGTTTGAGTCAGAGTACATATATAGATAAAATCCTTGGGCGATTTAAGATGAATGATTCCAAAAGAGGTAATCTACCTATGCTCAAACTGATAGGGATGACTTCAAATCTCAGGAGGGATATGTTTATTGTCTGAATGGCGGAGCTATATGCTAGAAGAGCTACAAGCAAGATACTACCGCAGATTCAACTACAAAAGCAAAATACATGGCGGCCTATGAAGCAGCAAACGAAGGTGTTTAGATGAAGAGTTTCCTTGCTGATCTTGGAGTGGTTCCTAGCATAAATGACCTCATTCAGTTGTATTGTGACAACAATGGGGCGGTTGCACAGGCTAAGGGAAACGCGGCCTCACCAGAAGACCTAACACATTGTCAAACACTATCTCAAACCGATAGGGATGACTTCAAATCTCAGGAGGGATATTATGATAATACAGACTTCATAATATACTAAGACTAATACGTATGAGACAAGATAGCTGTGTCTCATTGGTTATATATATTGTGATATCTCAGTCTATATGTAAGCACATATCTGGAGATTTGGTACTAGATTGACCCCCAAGAGAATACTACATGGGTAATATAATTTCAATGTGTTAGTAGTATTCTCATTCGACCATTGGCATAACTATCCTTAGACTTGAAGTCATTACAGGCTTTAATATGTTAACCTACATGCTTTGATTTATATCTAATGTCATCTGAAATAGTGGTGGACGTACAATTATGTTTTGAGTATATAATTAAACATATGCAAAGATGTGAATGATGTAGACAAAATTTATCCGTTCTATTATGCTCAAGTGTAATGTCTTTAGGCCCACTGATTGGTGTGACTTGGGAAGTGCGTGGTCATGCCAAGATAATTAGTATATGTGATATTAATGTGATCAAAATCCCACAAGTCCATTGGAGAATCAGTGAATATCTGACTTTAACAATGTTACACTTCCCATACTTTGTATTAAATCAAGAAATTAGTGATAAAGGGATAGAAGTTGTAGAAATGACATGTGTCATTAAAGGTATTGCTGCAATGAACTTTACGTTTATAACTTGGGTAGCGATAATATGTTGATAGATACTGCATATCGCTTATAATATTAATATTGATTAATATTATTTCCATCATTATCAATACCTAGAATGGTAACACACATAGAACAATTGAATAGAGTAGAATATTAAATGAGAATGATATAAAATAATATTATATATATATATATATATATATATATATATATATATATATATATATATTTTGGAACGTGTGACTTACAAGTATATATGTTGACATTTTAATTATGTGACTATTAAGTTCGTTGTACATTATTTTGTGGATAAAATTATATATATATATATATATATATATATATATATATATATATATATATATATATCCTTTGAAGTGAAGTGTAAGGATCCTGGATCTCTTGCAATTTCTTACAAAATAGGTGAGCATCTTATTAAAAGAGCTTTGATGGACTTAAGTTCTAGTGTTTATTTATTGCCATTTGCAAATGGGTTTGGAAGAGCTTAAACCTGCCAGGATGACACTTCAATTGGCTGATAGGTCTGTAAAAATCTCTAGGGGTATAATTGAGGATGTTTTGATAATGGTGGAAATTTTCTATTTTCCTATTGACTTTGTTGTTTTGATACCGCGCGAGAACATGAATGTGCTACGCAAATAGAGATTATTTTAGGATGCCCATTCCATGCTACAACAAATGCTTTAATCAATTGTAGGAATGGTGTTATGAAACTCTCATTTGGTAATATGACTTTTGAATTAAATATTTTTAATGTGACTAAACAAAATCATGATGAGAATGATGATGTATGTGAATTAAATATGCTTGACAGTCTTGTTAATGATACTTTTCATCACTCAGCCATTAGAAGCATGTTTAGTTAATTTTAGAACTGATTTTGATGTTGATGATTCATTTGCTGAAATTGATCACTTGTTTGATTCTACACCTATTTTGAATGATGAATAGTGGAAGCCTAAACCACTACGACTCCCATTGTCTTCCACTCCCTTATTTCCTTCTTCTCTAGAAACTCCTAAATTAAAAGTAAAACCTTTGCCTCATACTCTTAAGTATGTATTTTTAGGACATAATGATACATTGCCTGTTATGATATCTTCTAATCTAAATAAGTCTCAAGAATCACGATTAGGGAGTGTGTTGAAAAAACATATGGAAGCTATAGGTTAGTCAATTGCTGATATTAAGGGTATTGGTCCATCTATTCATTTTTTTTCATAATTTGCAGTCCAAATTTATAAAAGAATGACTAAAACATCAAAGAGGGAAAATTTATTTAAGACAGAGATAGTATAACTGAAAAAATGTAATATAATATGAAGTATTGAATTGATGATAGATTGATAAATGTGATATGACAAGAAATAGGCTGCCAAGGCTTTACCTTGTTATTGTTGGTAACTTTGCTTGAGAATGAACACTAAGTTATTTGAAAATAAGTACTACTTTATTTCAGAATGAACACTAAGTTATTCGTAAATGAATATTATAATTGTATGGAACAAATGCGTAAAAATGAACACTATATTACATTAGAATGAGTCCTACGCTATTTCAGAATAAATACTATGATATTTCAGAATGAATAGTATGTTATTTCAAAATGAAAACATATGTTTTGTCTAAGAATGAATAATGAGTACGTCAAATTATATTATACATCCGGTTGTATCCAATTTTGGGTACAACCAAAAAATTATTTATGGTATAGATTTTATTTTACACGAGAATGAATACTAAGTTATTTGAGAATGAGACTGTTTTGTTTCAGAATGAATACTACATTATTTATAGATGAATATTATAATTATATTGAACAAATGTGTGAAAATGAGTACTGCATTATTTTAAATGAGTACCACGCTAATTATATTTGTGCAAGAATGAGTACTACTTTACTTTAAAATGAGTACTAACCGGTTGTACCGTACCTCGGGTTGCACCATACACTTTCTCAATAAGTACTACTTAACTATGGAGTATATTTTAAATTTTTAATAGAGTAAATTCCATAAAAGATCCCCAGTTATAGGTCGTTTTACATATTTAGTCCCTACATATCAAATATTACTAATTTAGTCCCTAATTATTATATCATTTTTCACCTATGGTCCTTTGTTAACATTTTTGTTAAGAACATGGATAAAATTGTATATTCATACTTCTCTCTCTCCTCAATTAAGCTTCCTCCCTCCTCTCGTACTCTTTCCCAAACTCGTCGCTAAGTTCGAAGCTCTAAACCCAAAACTGAAATGATCATTACTCTCTGAATTATTAGTTTTCCAGGTGGAACCTAAAATCAAAACCAATAAGCTTTATGGATGAGTTTTATCGGTTAGTCTCAAGAAATTGCAAAGAAAATAAACATTAAACTCATCCATGAAGGCTACTCGTTTCGAATTGGAGTTCCAATAGTTAGAAAAACAATTGAGAAAAGAGTGATGTTTTCAGTTTTGGGTTCAAAGCTTCAAACTCAGCGACGGGTTTGAGAAAAGAGTGCGAGGAGAGGGAGGAAACCTAATTGAGGAGAGAAAGGAGTGTGAATTTATAATTTTATCCACGTTCTTAACGGAAATGTTAACAAAGGACCATTTGTGGAAATGGATATAATAATTGAGGACTAAATTAGTAATATTTGATATGTAGGGACTAAATATGTAAAATGATCTTTTTAATACTAGTAGAGCAGCTGTATAGGGACCCTAGTTTAGATGTGCTTTGGATAAACTTTTAACTCAAACGTACTGTATAAACATTAATACGGGGTGATAAATAGAGCTTCAACCGAAACCACTGCACATTACTTTCATCAAACTTCTGATTTGTACCCCTTTTACGTAAAGATAGCTGTGTGTATCTTTTTGGTCTTTGCTGGGTTGAAAGTTTGTGGATTGGCCTTTTCGATTTTAGTTGAAGGCTTCGAGGATTATTTCTGCCGGGAGGAAATAAGCGTTTATTGAATCCTGCAAAAATGACAAATTCTACGTGATTTCTAACTTGGGATTTGCTGATTGGATGCAGGAGGGGTGCCTGCAAAAATGACAAATACTTGATTTCCAACCTGGGATTCACTAATTAGATGCAGCAGGGTTGGTAATTTTCAAAATATTCTCAGGGTTTTCATAATCGGGGAAACATTGCTCAGGAGTTGTTATTGATAGGGTAACTGAAGCTGCAGGTGCTGCAAGATAAAGGGGGAGCGTTGATCGAGGTTTCTGTAACCAACTATGGAAAAACAAAAGGGTGAGGATTGGAGGGAGATGGTGAGAAATATGCTTCCTCCAGGGGTTCCCCTCCCGTCAGAGGATGCTAATCTAGATTACTCTATAGCTCTGGAGTACAAAGGTCCCCCAATATTGTATGACCTTCCAAAGGTGGAGCCCATCGATACAAACTGTAATGCAATTCCGAGAGCATCTGGAGCAGAATCTCATTCAGATTCCAGGAGATCAATGGCCCATGATGTCCTTGACCCAATCCCTCTTCCGGTCTCTTGTATTGCCGGTGTCACCAGTCCACGCATTCAGAGTCCTAGGGTGTCAAGAAGCTCCGAGTCCCAGGTGTCTGTCCTGAGTCCTGGATCATCATCTGGTTCGCTCTCGGCATCTCCTGCTTCGGCACACAACCCTGCAGAAGATGCTCGGATACCTGTGGTCAATCAGGGGAAGAGAGCTCCAGTCGTGACTTTCAATACTGTTGATAGATCCGTGAAGAAAATGGAGGACCGGGCTTTTAATGAGTATGTTGGAGTTTCCAAAGAAAACAAAAAGAAGAAAACAAGACTGTGTTGCAGGTGTGGAAAAGCAAAGTGGGAAACCAAGGAGCCCTGTTTGGTTTGTGATGCAAAGTATTGCAGCAGTTGTGTGCTTAGAGCTATGGGTTCGATGCCCGAGGGGCGAAAATGTGTTTCATGCATTGGCGAGCCAATTGATGAGTCCAAGCGGTCTAAGCTGGGAAAACACTCCAGAGTGTTGTCACGTTTACTTAATCCTTTGGAAGTTAAGCAAATAATGAAAGCTGAGAAAGAGTGTGCTGCTAATCAGCTTAGACCAGAGCAGTTGATTGTTAATCGGTTCCCTTTGAAATCAGAAGAGATGGCAGAACTATTTGGATGCCCTTTACCTCCTCGAAAGTTAAAGCCCGGTAGATATTGGTATGACAAAGAATCTGGTCTTTGGGGAAAGGTAACTTCTATATTTGCAATCAAAGCAAGATTAGTTTTTAAAAGTAAGAACTCAAGAATTATTACCTTATTATGAATTAGGAGGGAGAAAAACCTGATAGAATTGTGTCTTCAAACCTGAGTTTCACTGGGAAGCTTAGTCCTGACGCAAGCAATGGGAACACAGAGGTCTACATGAATGGCCGGGAGATAACAAAACGCGAACTCAGAGTTTTGACGGTGAGGCTTTATAATATCATCTAGACACATTTTCTACGTTATCATGACTATTTTCAATGGAAGGAAAGCTACTTTTAAATGGTAATAATGCTTTGTATTTAATATGCATATACATAGGTATATACGGAGTATAATTAATGAAGGATCAATTAGACTAACTTCACAACTTAAACATCTATATTTTTATCTTGTTAAAGCTACTTAAGACAAGTAATTATTCTAATACAGTGAACCCAAGATAAGTATGGAGCAATAAGGAAAATCTCTAACAAACTACGAAATCGGGATCAAACTCTTTAAAATAATAAAGTTGAAGGGAAAATGGGAAATCCTCATCAAATTATGAGAAGGAATCCTAAACTCACATCAAATAAAACCCAAGGAATATCTCGAATGATAAATTTGAATTTAGTTCTAGATTAGATAATGAGCCTCAATATATATAGAATCAAAATAACTACCATTCCCTAGAACTTTGGCTCACTTACACTTTCTACTTAGTAATTAAAAGTATATAAAATAAAGCATTTGACCAAGTAAAGAAATGAGCCTTACCAACTCTACTAATTCCAAAATATGATATGTAGGAACACTTAGAGATCTAGGATTAGAGTAGTTTGTTAGGCCTAGTGTGTTAAGTCATCACCTAGTCCACGACTAGTCGTGTGGGCAACGGTTTCATCCATGCTACTTCTTAGTCGCCCAGTGCCTGAGGGAAGACTAAGTGTCCGGTCGTGCAAATTGATGCCTAGGTGTCGCCTAGTCTCCCCCTAGTGTGTGTTTGTAACCCTACCTTAATTTTACCCTACCGGATCCAATTTAATTTAAGTTTAAGAAGCAGTCAAAGCTTCTTCAAGAAAACCTCATAATCGGTGTAAGTAGTTAGTTATTTTTGGTGAATGGTAATATATACGGAGTATAATTTTAATAGTAATTGTGATTTGTCGACTAGTCAACGACTAGAAGGCCGACTAGTCCAATAGTCTCTTTTTCACTTACTCCACTCGACTTGTTGCAATGATAACCATGCTTTAGACCTCTAGGCCCTAGTTTGTAGTTAATGTTGGGGTGTTTTTGCCTTAGGTTGTCGCTCTGTGCTTAGGTTCTAGTTGCTAGTTTGTAGTTAATGTTGGGGTGTTGTGCTAATGTGTTTGCTTATGTGTTTTGAGCTAGGGGTCTCTTGGAAACAATCTCTCTACTTCCATGTAGGGGTAAGATCTGCACACACACACCCCAGACTCTACTTTTATGGGATTTTACTGAGTTTGTTGTTGTTGTGATCAACTTTAGCATAGCACCTGCCAAAATAACTCTACTTCCTGCAATCAACTTTAGCGCCTGCCAAAATCACCATCTGTTAAACGTTCTATGTTTAAAACGTGCATGTTTTTTTTAAAAAAATACCACACCCTGGTGCTCCCTCTGAGTAACACAAATATGTTCTCTGATATTCTAGTTTTCTTTTAACTAAGTGCCAATCTGTTCAAGATTTTGGCTAAGTTTTCCGAACCATGCACAAGGACTCTATTTTGAGACCATACAAACATTTACGAAGCCAACACACTCCCATATAAACTCTTGATGTCTCTTTCTACTATTTTCCTCTTGAAGATAACCATCTAAGGCTTTTTAAAAGTGCAGCTGATGTAAAGGCATGCATGATGTGGTGTGTCTACACAAGAAATGCCAGTTTTTTCTTCCAGCCACTCCATTGTGAGGGGCATCTACACAAGAGGTTTGACATATCATGTTGTTCTGAAGGATCTTAAATTTTAAGGCCTCAGACAAAAATTTCTTAGCATTGTTGCGTCTAGAGCATCTCCAATGGGATTGTTAAAAAATGGGTTGTTACATGCTATTTTAGCAAGCAAGTAGTGTTTTAGCAATCCCTTCAACCATGCATGTCTAATAACAAAATAGATGAATGGGAAGATGTATAACAACAAATGTAGTTGTTATATATAGCAAGTGTGTTGGTTAAAATAACATATTTGCTATAACTTACCTCTTTCCTTGGATTGAACAAGAATAGAAATACGTTTCTAAAATTGCTACTATATTTTAGCTTTTAGCAACAAGGTTTGAGATGCTCTTAGATCACAAACACAAATATTCAACAGCATTTTGATTTCAGCAAAAAAGGCACATAAAAGTAAAAAGACTCCACATATACTTTTTATCACGTATAACAATGTCATCCAAGAGAAGTTTTCCACAAAAGTAACAAAGTATCAAAAGCGAGACTTAGACACAACAAGATGAGCACCCCAAACATCAGAATGAAGAACTTCAAAAGGGGCATTTGCGCATTTAGTTACTACAGGACGTAAACTAGTGTGATGATGTTTCACAAACTGGCACATAAAAGTGAAAAGAATTCATTTTTTTTTCATCAAATATAACAATGCCATCCAAGGAAGTTTTCCAAAAAAGTAACAAAGTATCGGACGCGAGACTTCGAGTTTGTCTTCTTCAACTTATTCTTATTGGAATCAAATCAGATAAGAAACAACTTTAAATATAAGTTGAATCAGGGCCAGATCAGATGAGACCTTAATAAAATCAATGTCGACACGAAGAGAACTTGATCTTAGACACAACAAGATGAGCACCCAAAAAATCAGAATGACCATGTTCTAAAGGGGCATTTGGTCGTTTAATTACTAGAGAATTAAAACTAGTGTGATGATGTTTCACAAACTGGCACAACTCACATTTTAAAAAGATACATTATGAAACTTTGGATAGATTTTCCTTAATCTGGAAAATGATCCGCCCTAGTTGACGGGATTCCTACTCCAAGACTCGATGTAGTTTGTGGTATGGAAGTATCCAAGAGATAATTACCGGCTGGCACATGTCCTTTACTAATGATCTGCCTTGTTACCAAATCCTTAAATATACAAAAGTTGGGGGAAAAAGTCATGGAACAACTCAGTTTTGTATAAATTTACTAATGGAAATCAAATTGAAAGCAAAATAAGGAGACTTAAGGCTGATGATAGGGATAGTGTGGGCAGAACGACCTTATCGGATCTATGTACAGGTGAAATGACCCATTCACCAAGGTAGTATTAAATGGATGGTAATTGTGAGCAAATGATTTGAAAAGATTAGAATGATCTGTGCTATGATCTGTTTCATCAGCGGTGATCACCCCATGTGGACGATGACTGAAAAAGATAGGTATTAGGATTACCCAAATTGGAAACAGTAAAAATAAGAATAGATGAATTTATCTTTCAAATGTTCTTGATAAATAGGATATTTGGTAAAGTCATTGGCAGAGTGTGACTGATCCTTCTGGTTGCGAGGCAACACTATAAGCAGACTGAATAAGTGTCCAGGTTTCTTACAACATTCGTAAGAATAAGGGAAATTAGTGTGAACAGAGGAGACTTTTTCATTAAACAAAACTTGGAATTTGGCTGTTTCAAGTTGAGAGGTCCTGCCAGGAAACTCATAGCTGCCATTTGTTTGTGGTTTATCTACAGGACATTAAGAAATGTATTGAGTTCTAGTTCTTCGTAAATTTTCTTGAATTCCATGAAGTTGATCGCGAGGGGGTCTCACTCATTATTTCCTGGTAAAGTGCTATACACATTCCATAAATGGTTTTAAGATTGCCCTTACCTGAATACAACATTAATCCAAGGTAGTCAAAGATGTCCTCGAGTGTGGCAAAATGAATAGTGCTAATGCACAAATTTTTTATTTTAAGTACAGGCCTGGGAAATCATCTATCCTAGCTATATGTGTAGATTTATTTGCTGGTTTAACAGAATTTAACATACTTCACTTATTTTAGACACTTTTATGTAGTATAAAATCCTTTATATCCTTTATATATATATATAAATGAGACTCCAAGCTCTAAGAGAATGACACATGGCAAGCTCTAAAAACACAACACGTGGCGTTATTGTTTATGTGACACCTATATAAAAAATTAAAAGAATTAAGTCCTTAAAAGAATGGAATATTACGTGGCATTGCTCCTAAGAAAATAAAAAAGAATTGAATATTTACTTTCTTTTTTTAGTTTTTCCAACTTTAATTTTTTTCTTCCTCTCCTTTTAGTCATTTTTTAAAACTAATATTTACCTTTCCAAAAACTAAATAATCAAAATTTAGTATTTCTAATATTTTTGTCGGATTTCTATTAATTTTACTTCTTTTATTTGGTAGCACGCCCATATTCTATGGTAGTTTAGGATGCTATGAAGAAAGTGCCAAAAATTTTAGAGATTCTCCACATTTACAATTCTCAATTTGTTCTATGAAAGTAAAAAGTTTAACTCTCTCTTTTAAGGAAATCCTAGATTTGTTCTTTAGTAAGTTTAACATTTTCAGTATTATTGAATCTATTACACTGTAATATTTCAAAATGAAAGAGAATGAATATCGCCATTGAAGTTTGAACATGGGCGAGATTCCCATTTAGAATTTTTTGGGTAGTTCTATCTACAACCACTCAAGTCAAAAAAATAGCTCTTATTTAACGTAGCTTATATAAAAAGTTCACAGTTTATGAAACAATAGTACATTTTTGTTCACATCTATTGAAAAAGAACTAAAACATCTCACAACAATGGTCGAGCAAATCCAAAGTTTAATCTTAATGGTGGAATTAGTATTACATAGGATCTTGATTGCCATTAGATATCAAATATGATAAGTCATTTCAAGTATTTCAATAGCTTTATTGTACTCAAATTTATTCAACACACATACTATTTACATACCTCACACAACAAACCTCATATTTTACAATATTATATATTAAAAACACCAAAATGTCCATTTTGTATGATTCAATATGTATAAGAATGTTTCGACTATCATAATAATTTTAGTATCCATAGAGAAATTGAAAAACCTGATAAGTCAACATAATTTTTTAAAATAAGGTTTCAAAGGGCCGGAAATAATGCATCGTGGAAAGTATTATGATGTAGCATGAGACGATTATGAAACATATCTCGGGACTTGAGACATTATATTGTTCCCAATGTAAATGAAGTTATCGCCTAATAATTTTTTATAAATTTAATTTATCTAATGTCGGGAGAGATATCAATCTAAATAAAATATATGAGATTTTATAGAGAATCTATGAGACACGCATAAGACGAGTAAAAATGGAAATATAAAACTTTTTTGTAGGACGAGAGAATATATAGTATTAGAAGTATATTTTATTTTATCATTTAATAATATTGTAGTAAATAAATATGGGAAGACTATAGTATTAGAATTATATTATATTTATATTTTTAATAATAAAGGAGAGAATTATTATTTTTAGTCAATGGGGCGGTGCGGGACAGTAGAATCATGTTAATGCGTTAGTGAAGAATAATATTTTTCATAGAATAAAAAACAATTTTATTTCACCCGTGCATGGCACGAGTTAAAATACTAGTAGCATTAAATATACAACAACAACCTAGTTGAGTCCCACAAGAGTAGGGTTTGGGGAGGGGGTGTGTGTACGCAGACCTTGCCCCTACTCGAAAGTAGAGAAGTTGTTTCCAGAAGACCACTGGCTCAAGCTGCAGAGATAAAAAAAAAGATCATAGAGGTACATAAAGCAGAGAAGAAAGAATATATAAATCACAAAACACACCGAGGCAAAGAACAAATTAAGGATAACGAAGGAAAAAACTGCAAGCGGAGAGCATCAAGCATACAAGGCATACAAAGCACCTACCTAACTACTCTAATCCTAGCACTCCTATTGCAGAGAGCATCCAATAATGGAAAATATAAACTTTGATAAAAATCAATATGCAATTCTCCATTGAAGACCAATTACGAATGTCATGTAGAAAGCCATCATGTATCGCACAACATCCCCCTAGGTCTTTTTGAAAATCTTTTAGTGCTTATGTTGCATCTTGGAAAAGTAGTAAAGCTAATCAATTGTTCATTCACTACATATACCTGCGAGAATCCTTTTTTTGACTAATAAGTTTCATAATTGGAATCCTTTCTTAGGACTAATAAGTTTCATAATTTAAAGCAGAAACAGGAGAATGAAATTACTGATTCGTAACTTAATAGTCCTAAAAAATTACTCCATCCGTCCCTAAATAGATTACAATCTTTTTTTCTCTCTCCTCTCGATAACTTTTGCTTGTTTACACGATTTCATCAAGTATTTGATAAAATAAAATATTCTTGTCACCTCTTGTTTTGTAGAACTTTTGACGTAGTTTTTTAATATGTAATTTTTATAGCTTATTGATATACCAATTTGTAAATAAAATGATTTCAAAAAGTAGGAAATTTTACTCCGTAACCCGCAACTTGTAATCAAATTGGGGACGGAGGCAGTATTTTCTTTTACTCTTTCTTAGGACTAATAAGTTTCATACTTGGATTCTCAATTTTTGATACGGAGGAAGTGTTATGGATTCTCAATTTTTAATATTCTCCTCCCTACTTCACAAGATTTTAATCCCTGTATTCTGCAGAAAATTGTACAATAGGTAAATTCATTCATAGAAGGGAAATTGACCTTATTTTAGAATTTCATGATTTTTAGCTTGCGAATGTGCAATGTCCCCGTGACACCCACTTTTGGGTATATGATGATGGCCGCTATGAGGAAGAAGGACAAAATAATATTAGAGGAAATATATGGGAAAAGGTACAAGGAACTATGATATGTTGATTTCAGTTTATTTGTCTTGTTTGTAAAAGAAAGCATCTAAATCTTATTTTCTACATAGGCATCAACACGGTTCCTCTGTACATTACTTTCCCTTCCTATACCCAATGGTCAGTCACATAGTCAAAAGGATGAACCAAGCACATATACCTCTGTTCCAAATTATTTGGAGCAGAAAGGAGTTCAGAAACTTCTATTACTTGGACTTGGAGGCTCTGGAACCAGCACCATATTCAAACAGGTGAGTAATTCATTTGTGTTTGCAAAAGATATTTTGTTTGTCATTGTTTAATTTTGTGTTGTATTGGTGAATTTCTTCTTTTCTTATATTTAGTATATTTTGCAAATCATAAATTGCATGCACAAGAACTTTACAATTTGATATACTCACAGATTATCTTAATTCTTGAGCAATTGATGTAGCAATTTTTAATATTCTCCTTCCAATTTGTGGGCGAGGGATGATATCCATGATTTAAAAAAAAATTCACGTTCGGTCCCACACTACCATGACTATTAGGCTTTTCCTCTTTTTGGTACTTGGCTTCTGTTTTTTCCACTCTTGGTGTACAAGTAGTGTACAACTATGGATTTTTTGCCACTTTAGTCTTTTTCCTTTGTCCATTTATTTGACTAGTTTTTATATAATTTGGGCTGATTTTCACTAGATAAAAAAGCGTAAGGGACAATAGTGGCAACAAGTCAACAATCATGCTCCAAACGTGATGTTGGAAACTTGGAAAAACCTAATAGTCGTGGCCTCGTGGGACCAAAAGTGAAATGCTTTCTCCAATTTTTCAAAAAACCTAATTCATTGACGCACTTTACATTATTCAAATGGTTACGAATCAAAACAAAAATAAGAAATGAAAAACTACACCATAATGCTTATTTACAGGTGTGCACTTACCTCATCGGTTCGCACTAGTAATTTTGACCAATGTGCAAGGAATGTTAAGAATAAGAAATGAAAAACTACATAATGCATATTTACAGGTGTGCATTTACCTCATCGGTTCGCACTAGTAATTTTGACCAAAGTGTCAGGAATGTTAAAATGTTATTAAGGTTAAATAACTTATAAACCATAAAAAATGTTAAATGAAGTATGATAATGAAGGAGAATGAAATTGATGCTCTTTTGTAACTTTTTAAGTCAAGAAACTATTAGTTCGACTAATGGGCCTAACTACTTAAGGTTTTTACCTTTTCACATCTCTCATTTTTGTGCAACCTAAACAACATTTTTCTTGCTCAAATTAGGGGTGTAAATGGATATTAATCAGATCGGATGTGCCATTACCAAATCCGTATCCGTTTATTTTTGTCGGATATCGAATTTGGATACGGATCTTGACGGATACTGAAAATCAAAACCGTATCCGCATCCGTCGGATATCGGTCGGATATCGGATATATCCGTATCCGTTTCTAATTTTTAAAATCAAATTAGACAATACTTTAATTTTAAATTATATTAAAGTCAAACTATTATTAAATCAACTATAATTTGTTATGGGATAATTATTTTCTTTGTTGTCATGATTTATGATATTTTACGATAACTTCATATAATAAAAATATATATACGGCACACATATACACATATTTTTATATGTCTACACATATTTTTATGTGTCTACAAATTTATTTTGTATATAAAAATTTCTGATACTCTGAAATATCAATAGAGAAACAAAATAGAAACATAAAAATAGGAAAAACTATATATAACGGATCGGATATTTGGATAAACGGTTATCTAAACGGATGCATATCCGGATCGGATTTTAAACAGATCGGATATACAATTACCAAATCCGTATCCGTTTAGTAATCGGATATCCTTAATCGGATACGGATAATATCCGTTTAAAACGGATGCTGATATTTCCTCTTTAAACGAATACGGATGCGGACGGTAATCGGATTTTCGGCTATCCGTTTACAGCCCTAGCTCAAATAGTTGGATGATTTTGGCTTCCTTTGGTTGTCACCCTTTTATTCAATCCACTTTTTAGTTGATAAATCACATTATGAATCCCATCTTGATTTCCTCACAGCGTGCTCAACTCATATAGTCATATAGTTTCCTCTTTCCTCTTGTTGATTCTTTCTCAACAGGCCAAATATTTGTATGGGAACAAGTTTAGTGCTGGAGAGCTGCAAGATATTAAGCTCATGATTCAAAGCAATATGTACAAGTATCTAAGCATTCTCCTTGATGGACGGGAACATTTTGAAGAGAAGGCTTTTTCGAAACTAAACGAAGGTTCATTAAATTTTTAGCACTATTATTGTGAATCATATGCAAACTTTAAAGTTTATATTTCCGGATCTTTATTATTTTAAGTAATACTTCCTCTGTCCTAAAATAGATGCTACCATAAAATTTGTATATTACTCACACACTCTCAATTTACCATCTTTTGTGATTTAAATGTAAGGATTCGATATAAACTCTCATAATATCATATTTTTTAGTTTTTACTAAAACATAGTTGAATATACTACCGATTTCATTTGTATATTGGCAAACATGAAATTTATCATGTTGCAACTATTCTAGAATGGGAAAGTATTACCTTTTAACTTGTGGATACTGTGCTGTGGGCGAGTTTTATACCTGGATGCCATACAGTTTATATAGTGTGTGTACAGATGTTGATCTGAATAGAAATAAATTTCAGGCTATGTGAAATGATTGTTCAGGAATAATTTTGTTCGTCTTTTTCTAACAGTGTTTTACTGTTACTGCTTTTGATGTGTACCACATTTTAAAAATACTAGTCGCTTTACTCTTGTTTATTAGGTAGTTATTCTTTTGAGGGGGAAATATTTAGTAATGAGATGATTCTTTATTCTTTGACAAAAGTAAACTTAAAAGATTTTCAATATTTTGATAGCAAACTCGAAGAGTTTATTTGTTCTAATGAAGATGCATTTTAATTGTGCTATAATCATAAGTTTGTTTTTCTTGACTGGTCAATATTTTTAATACAAAAAATCAGTTTATTACTTATGGGGATGTTTAAACTACCATGTGGCAATCTCTTGTGCTAATTATGAAGCGTAACACTTATTTATAATAGGGTCGATTGATGCTTGATCAAGAAAAGAAGTTCCATTGAGTTGCAATGTTCAGCTTGGATTGTTTAACTCTTGATTTATTTTGTTCGTTTATTATGTATTATGGATTGTGGTTATGTTACTATTAAGATTTGTGTATTATTTTCGAGTCCCTTGGTGTATTTATGAGTTTAAGGATCACAATAATGAATTCTGATTCAACATATTGGTTGATTTGATGTTTTGTTGTAGGCGGAGTTGACTCATGGGAATGTAACCAATGTGTATATTCTCTAAACCCAAAGCTGAAGCATTTTTCTGATTGGCTGTTGGATATCATAGCCACTGGAGATTTAGATTCTTTTTTCCCTGCAGCAACTCGTGAATATGCCCCCCTAGTTGAGGAGGTGTGGAAGGATCCAGCCATACAGGAAACATACAAGAGGAAAGATGAACTTCCCTTCCTTCCAGATGTTACCGGTTATTTCTTAAGCAAGGTATGCTTAAAGGTTTTATTCCGAGAAGCACTTTTTTTCTTTTTATTTATACATAGAAAAATGAACAACTAAAATTATGCCATCTTTAGTGCTTAATCTTTATTCAGTCAGTTAAATCAAAGTTTGAAAACTGCCTAATAAAAATGCTCCAAGACCAAATTAGACTATTAGATAACTTATTTTGTATTCCTCATGTTTTACCTAAACTTTGATGTACATAAGCTTTGGTTGGATGCTTAAGGAATCAGAACAGAGTAGGCATCTTAGTTAACGACACAAATATGGCTCTTAAGCTAATTGGCTAGTCATTGGAGGGTCCATTTCGAACATTATTAGTGCCTCTGTCCCGCAAGCAGGTTTGCGTGACGAGGATAAGAAGCAGTTTTGAAAGAATCTGGACAAGGTGGTGAGGAGTATACTACAAATGGATTTTCGGAAGAGTACTCACAAGTCAGAAGGCAGGCTTGATGTGGTTGACTAGGTTGTTTAATGTGCTTTTGAAGAAGGCAAAAGCGCACAGGGAATACAGGGAGACTACATTGATTCCGTTGTACAAGAATAAGGGGGATATTCAAAGTTGTAACAACTATAGGGGTATTATGTTGCTAAGTCACATTATGACAGTTTGTGAAAGGGGGGTAGAACTGAGGGTGCATAGGAGCATGGTTATTTCTGTGAACCAATTTCAATTCATACTGGGGTGCTGGACTACTGAAGTCATTCATCTAGTAAGGGCACTGGTGCAGAAGTATAAGGAGAAGAAGAATGATCTTCACGACTTCATACGTAGGTTCTCAGAGACTAAAGGTGTACCTGTGGCATGCATGAGAGCGATCAAGTATGTGTACAATTGAGCCAAGACTCGGGTAAGGTCAGTGGGAGGAGATTCAGAGCCTTTTCTATTTGTGGGGTGCATCAGGAATCTGCTCCCCTTCCTTTTTGTCTAAGTAATGAATGAATTGATGAGGCAAATCCAAGGCAAGGTGACATAGTTATGATTGATGAAATACGTTGTGGAGTTAATGTTAAGCTAGAGGTTTGGAGACTGACTCCAGAGACCAAAGGGTTCAAGTTGAGCAGACCAAGATGAAATGCTTGGAATGCAAGTTCAGTGATATTACACATGAGTCAGATGTGGAAGTTTGCCAAGAGGAATAGTTTCTATTGTTCCACAATTCACAAATTGTTCAAATAATGGCCGCTTCATGTCCTTGAAGTGTCCCTGTTTGGGTACATGGGAACGTCCCAACACCCAAACCTTTATAAAAATTTGAAAAGTTGGTGTTTCCCATCATTTTCCCAGTGCAACTTAGAACTCTCAGGTACCATGGATCCCTAAGCCAAGAGAATGGGGAGATTGATAACGATGTCACACATCGTGTTAGAGCGGGGTGGTTGAAGTGTAGAGTTGCCTTTGGATTTTGTGTGAACTCTCGATGAAAGCACTAAATGGACTTTAATCCACCAAGCACACGACAATGGACCATGAATATAAAATGAAAAATATAGATGAAGAAGTAGAGAGAAAACACCTGTAGAATGTTCATGTATTCCTAGTGAGATTCCTTGTGGGTGAAGGTCTATTTATAGTGCAAGTCATGGGTAGTTACGATCCCTTTTCCTAGGACCTTATTGTGGATCATGAACTAGCCATCTAGGGTACCCCCCTGCCCCCACTCCCTAACCTAATTGGAGTGTTGTGCCATACTTTCATCTGTTTGTCATTATACGGGTGGATTCCTCATGCGGGTTGGATCCTCACTACCCACTCATGTGGGCGACCATATTAATAAATAGGTGGGCTTGGTATATTCTATATGATAGACAGATATACTTCGTGTTGGTCTCAGTATACCCATCACATGCCCAAAATGTAAGGTAAACTTTTTACAGGGTGGTTATTGGACCGTCATTGTATGTGGTGGAATGTTGGCCAGTTAAGAACACTCATGTTCAGAAGATGCAAGTTCCTAAAATGAGAATGCTGAGGTTGGTGTGTATTCTTACCAAGAGTGATAAAATTAAAAATGAGGATATAGGTATGGGAGGGAAACTGAGATGGTGTGGGCACGTGAAGAGTAGAGACAGACCTTAAGAAGGTATCAATGTTTGGATAGTGTGCGATATGTTTGTCATTAAGCCTGCGATCCGTTCGCCCGATCTGATAAGATTTTTTGATGTTTTGATTTGGTCTGCTCTCATCTGATTGGATCTGATCTGATTGGATATGATATGAATTTGATTAAAATTCAAATTTAAATTTTTATTATAATAGTTATAATAATAATAGAAATATTAGTAATAATAGCAATAATAATAGAAATAATAATAATAATAGTTATAAAAGCATTAATGATAATAGAAATAATAATAATAGTAATAGTATTAATAATAATAGTAGTAATAACAGTAAGAATAATAATAACTATAATAATAATACTAATAATAATCGTAATAATAATATTAGTAACAATGATGATGATAATAATAATAATAATAATCATAATCCTAATAATAATAATAGAAATTATAATATTAGTAGTAGTCATAATAATAATAATAATTAAAATAACAATATTAATAATAATTATAGTCATAATAATTATAATAGTAATAGTAAAAATAACAATAGTAATAATAAGTGTAATAATAATAATAGTAATAGTAATAGTAATAGTAATAATAATAGTAATCATAATAATAGTTACAATAATAATATTATTCATATTAATAGTAATAATAATAATACTAATAATAATAATAGAAATAATGATTATAATCATAATATTAATAGTAATAGTAATAATAATACTAATACTAATGGTAATAATAATAATAGTAATAATAATAATAATAAAAGTAATATTATTATTTTTGTTTAGATCTGGTTTGATCTGATTCGATCTGATCTAATCTGATTGGATCTGATCTGATTGGATTTGATATGATCTGATGTGATTTCAATAAGAATAAGTAATAAGCAGAAAAAATACTCCCTCCGTCCCTGAATTTATGTCCACTTTCTATTTGGCACTAAAACGAATGTGAGGTGTAAAATGTCACAAAAGTCCTTACTTTGGGTGTCCTTCACTACCCCACCCCTTTTGGTCCAGTCCACTGCAGCCCAGCCCCTCTCCCCGCCCCGGTCTAGTCAAGCTGCCTGACCCTTCGATGTCTGAGACGAAGAACCCAATCCTTGATAGTGAAGGGCGACGACTTGTCGCAACTCTAGAGCATGCGAGAATAAGCTAGAGGTAATAGAAGATCTGTGGAATAGTGTCTCAGATTTGGAATTCTGATCAAATATCCAATCCTTGATACCAATTTGTCTTGCTGCAGTACATATGGTGCAAGATGATTCCACATATTGAGGTCGGAATACGATCGGGTATTTTTAAGTCTTATCGAAGTGCTGGGTTTGGCTTATTTCCGACTGATGTACAAGAAGGAAAGTCCCTCAACTACGTGTCCTCTCCTCTCCCGTCGCTCGACCTACGGGAGAGGAACGAAGTTGCTAGAGTGTAACGATTTGTTGAACATAGTTCAACTTATTTGGTAAGGTGTATAGAGATTCATTTCACATAGTGAAACTATGGTACGTAGTAGCTTAGTTGACATAGTGAACCTAAGGGAGTTGGTTAAAGCAAACTCTCTCCTTGAAGGAGCACGACCTTAGCTTCAACTTCAAAGCATGGCATGGGGTTCAAACACACAAAAAAGTCTTGGAGGGGGTTCACTATATTTGGCTTTTGGGTATGATGGAATAAAGCAAAATGACTCTTTAAACAATTTGCACTTCTTTTTCAATAGTGAAGTAGCACTTAGTCAATGCAACTTTCGACGCTCATCATAGCCGCTCTATGTTTAAAACATAGGGCTCCGACTATGTAGATCCAACCCCCCTTACCCGGCAATGGCCAGGAGTCTTTGAGACACTGGGGTAATGTTGATGTTTTTTTTACTGGCATACGTAGTCTAGTCATTATCAGTAGCATCTGAAAGATGGGATTGCCGGTTTCATGTGAACTCATTTAAACCTAGCTTACAATCACTAGTGAAAGAGTGCTCATTGACCTAACTAGCGAATCTGTTTAGAACCAGGTTCAGAAAGATAGCTGAAAGTGCTCTAGCATAAGGAAGAGATTCTATGGTTTTCGGCATTGAAAGTCAAATGATTCTTTTCATTCACGATAATCGTCTCTATTGAACTATGTAAATCGCTTTTTAGTAGCAACACGGATTCCCCATTTTGCTAATGGGGCAATTGAAGGCTAACCCATTCTGGTTGTCTTGACTTGGCAACAACAACAAAGCCTTATCCCACTAAATGGGGTCGGCTACATGGATCAAAAGACGCCATTGTGGCCTATCATGTATCATATCTGCAGTGAGATCATTCATGCGAAGTTCTTTCGTACCTATTTTGTGCCAATTCTTTTTAAGTCTACCTTTTCCTCTAGCCACATTCACCATTTATTTAACCCTTCTCACCATATGCTTTATTGGTCTTCTCTCCACTGTGTAAACCACCTAAGACGAGTTTCCGCTATCTTTATAACATGGACCAGAATAATGTGAAAATAAACCTAAAGAATTTTTAAAGCAATTGTTGGAATAAATTTGGAGTTTGAAGAAACCGTAAGAAGAGGATGGAAGAAACCGTAAGGAGTTGGAAGAAACTGGAAGCTAATTCTAAGTTCTAACAACTCTAAAGAACATGCTCTAAAATCGAGATTTGCAGTAAACTTTATAGAAAGTGAGAAGCAAGGGATTTTTATTATGTCATTTTGATTTTGTCCATTATATACATGAAGCTAAAGCATTGTAAAAATGACTTTAGCTCCATTGGCAACAACTCATTTATTTTATTGGGTTAAATATGTTTTTCGCATGTAAAATTGAGGGACATTTGCTTTCGGTCTCTCTCAATTTTTAAATTAAGTCAAATCCTTGTAAAATACAGAGTATTGTTTTGCAAATGGTCCTCCCACCAATTAAGAGTTAATCTGCCAGGGTTTGCAGGGACTAAAAATAAAATAAAGCTGTTTTACACAAACAAATTAAGAGGCACAAAAAACAAAATCGCTAATTTTACAGCGACCAAAACATATTCAACGTTAATTCTAAATTAATTTTTTTTTTGTGAGAAGACCATTTTGCAAATTTTTGTGTAGGAATTAGTTAATTAAAAAACTTAGAGGGACTATTTAAAAATTTCTATGAGAATCAGACTTATATGTAATTAGATTTTACTAGTACCTTCAACTTCTATGTCTATAAGAAAAGTTCTTTTAGTGTTTTTAGTGTCATTAGCTATTTTATGTAATTAGATTTTACTTAGATTGGACAAGAATTTTAATAGTTGTTAACGAGTTTAACGATATTACAAATTTCAGAATGGGGATCCGGGGCAGCATCCCCGTGTATTGGGGTCCAAAGTGATATAAGGAAATCCTTTAGATTTTCTCAAACAGAGTCCAAAGTGATATATATTCGAATGTATAAAACAATAAATTTGAATAAAATGTGACCACTAGATGAACAGGCACGTAAATCCACATGTCTAATATCAACCATTCGAATGTTCCCCAATGAATTGCAACGGTTCATGCAAAATGTGGAAGCGACGATTCACATGTAAACCACTACTCACATTCGAATGTTTTGTTAAATATTTTAATGTTTTGCGTTTGATTGTGTTATTTCATGAACAGACCCGTTTGATCAGTCTTTCCTCTATATATATGAACTTGTAAGGTATGTTTGAGATGCAGAGAATTTTCATACTTATTTTAGATACTTACATCTTATCCGGTTGAAGTTTTTTGGTAAATCCCAAAATATAACTTTAATCTGAAAGCGTGTTTCACACGATACATTAAGTCTCTCAAGTCTTCTTCACGTTCATATACCATTCGTTCTAACGCTGCTACACTGTGGTCTTTCCTCCTAATTTTCCAACAATTTCTTCTACCTAACTAGACCAGCGTTGTTAGGAGTTATTAAAGATAATAACTCTTAACAACTATTCAAATGGATACAAGGGAGGATAATATTAAATACTCATACGTCCGGGAATGTTGTTCTCCTTTTCCTTTTTGGATCGTCCAAAAATGTTCTTCCCATTTACTTATTTGGCATATTTTTCATTGTTAAAAGTCATTAATTCCCCTCAACATTACCTTTCCTTAATCTGCACAACTCCACTTCACGCAATCTTTATTTCTATCTTCCTCTTCATTAATCTCCTTCCCTGTACTAAAAAAAATCTCATCCCAAAATTGGATCTGTGCTACCCCAAAAAAAGGATTATATCCGTGCAACTCCCATCCCCTTGCCATCTTCTACTTCTTTCTCCCCCCTTCAATTCCTCGTAACTCTTCTTCTCTCAAGACCAGATCAGTGCAGCTTCCACCCCTCGCCATCGTGATCTCCTTCCTCTCCATTCAATTCTTCTCCCTCTCTCATTTTCATAGATCTCTGCGGCCTAAATCCGAACCCCAGGGTTGGGAAGGAATCAAAATAATCGCCGCTCGTCATAGATCTCATCTTTTTCATAGCTCTATCTGTTCAGATTTCGGCCCATTCTGATATCACTTCCTCCATCGTCAATCCAGGCAAGATTTGGGTCAAAGAGATTCCATTTTCAATTTCATTTTCAAGGGGAGATGGAGGAGAAGCAGCGCCAGAGGGGAGATGAAAAAGAAGCTTCGAAATTGGAGAAGAAGCGGCAGAAGAGATGGAGGAGATGGGGAAGGATCTACAAATTTAGAGTGCAGATGGAGATCGAAGAAGATAGGGGAAAAGGAGAAGAAAGCTATAACATTAAGGATAGGGTAGAAGGGCGAATTGGGAAAGTCAACATTCCTAAATAAGCGTGCCAAGTCAACATGGGAAGAACATTTCTAGATGGAGGGAGTATAATTTAAGCATTATCCTTGACAAGACCAATAAAGTATCGGGTGAAAAGGGTTGATCAAATGGCAAATAGACATGTGGCTAGAGGAAAAGGTAGACCTAAGAAGACTTGGCACGAAGTGGTCCAGGGGGACCTTCGTGTGAATGATCTCACTGTAGATATGGTACATGATAGGGTGCAATGACATTGTTTGATCCATGCAGCCGATCCCACCTGGTGAGATAAGGCTTTGTTGTTGTTGTAACCTTGATATAGATGATCTCATTTATGTGGAGTCAGTCCATTTTACGTATCTGATTCTTACTTCTTGAACTTCCATTATGTATCGGAAAGACTTGATTATAGTGAAAGGATAATACCGGTGCCAAATGAAGACATGCTTTTCCTTCTTTTGTGAACAGGCTGTTGAGCTATCAAGCAATGAGTATGAACCTACAGAGCATGACATATTGTATGCTGAAGGGATTACCCAGGGTAATGGCTTAGCCTTCATGGAATTCTCATTGGAGGAACGTAGCCCAATGTCTGAAATCTATGCAGACAATCTTGAATCTCTTCCACCGCCTCTGACTAGGTAATACTACATCGTCTACATGCTACATTGCTACCCTATACTACTATAATGCTTAGATTATTTGCATTCGTATTGGAGTATTTGATTATTTTAAATTATACCAATATAATATATAATCTCTTCGTTCCCTATAAAAAAAGACATCATGTTGCAAACTCCTATGTTCGTCCCATCAAATGTCATATTTGATCATACGAAGCCAATTTTTCATGTAATTTGCCATAAAAGTGGAAACAACCTATGATTGTGATTGGTGACAGTTTAGAATCACATCTCATTGTTGCTCCTTTCTTTGCAAGAAGATTGCAACAGGGTTGGAATTTTTCCTACTTCATTGTTTTGCATGAGCTGATAGTGTTAATGACTTACTGCTAATTAATCTTAGCAATATAGTTAAGTTAAGTTAGGAATATAAGTTTCATGCCAATGACCCCAACTAGTTTTGATGAAGATGCTCATGATGATGAACAAATAAATTTAAAAAGAAGGATTAAATTCATAGCAATATTACCTTACCTTTTTTTTGTAAAAAAGTTAGACCTTTGTCAAATATCACATATTTTTTGAGAGATGTAGTAGTATTAGGATCTACCAAAATACACTGGAAGTGCTTTTACAGGACGTTTGTTTTGTGATGCCGGGAAGTAGCACAAGGAAACAAATATTGTGTTTATGCCATCTGATCTTGATTGTTATCACAAAAATCTTATACTCACAATGCGTGTCTCCCTTCTTTCTATCAGGTACCAACTTATAAGGGTAAATGGCAAGGGAATGAATGAAGGGTGGAAGTGGGTAGAGATGTTTGAAGATGTGAGAGTGGTTATCTTCTGTGTTGCTTTGAGTGATTATGATCAGATATGTGTTGCCCCAGATAACAATGGTAATGGAAAGCTATTGCAAAACAAGATGATGCAAAGCAAGGAACTATTCGAAGCAATGATACGTCATCCTTGTTTCAAAAACACCCCTTTTGTATTGTTGTTGAATAAGTATGATCTATTCGAAGAGAAGATGACGCGAGTGCCTTTGGGTACTTGCGAGTGGTTTGCTGATTTTAGCCCTGTGCAAGCTAATAACAATCAAGCACTAGCGCAACAAGGCTACTACTACATTGCGATGAAGTTCAAAGACCTCTATGCATCCCTCACAGATAGAAAACTCTTTGTCTGGCAATTGCAAGCAAGAGAGAGAGAGACAGTTAGCGAATCATTCAAGTTTGTAAGAGAGGTAATCAAATGGGACGAGGAGAAGGAGGATAATTATATTGGTGGGGTTGATGATTCATTCTATAGCACAACCGATGTTAGCTCGTCTCCTCTTATCAGGCAAGAGTGAAGAAATCATTGGTAGGTACTGTGGGGTTGGTTTGCATTTTGTACATAAGCAGGTATAGATAATAATGAAATGAAACCAACTGTCTCAAAATTCGTTTCCCATCGGATCTAGTTGTCTTGAAGTTCGTGCTTAAGCCTATGTTCATTGCACAGCATTTAAAAATGTATCATCCAGAGTATTATCCTCAGACTTTTATTTATGGATATTGAAGTGTGAGATTCTTACGATCTGGAAGGCGTGATGATGATCCTGCAGAGCCTGTTTTCTACACGGTCCGGTGTTGTCTCTACATAATTTAAACGAATAGTTTTGTTGAAACTTCTTGTATCTTCATATCTTGTGGTGCTAGATATGGAGATTGGGAAGTGCTCTCCTCAAGAACAATAGGAATTGTGAAAATCCTACGGGTAGAAATATATAATCGTGTTGTGACTTTCATTAGGGAGTGTTCTAGGGATTTTGTGTGATACTATATCTTACACAAATTTTTTATTAGGCCCCGTTTGGTACATAGAATTCAAACTATGGAATTGGAATTGAGGACTTCAATTCCAATTCTGGTGTTTGGTAGCATAAAAATTATGTGGATTTGGAATTGATAATACAAAAAATGAATAGGAATTGGCAGAATTTAATTCTATGGAATTGAATCCCATGAAATCTCAATTCCAATTCAATTCCAATCCCGTCAATTCTGTATACCAAACGGACCTTTATAAAAATCAATACCAAGTATGATTCTTAATGCTAGTCCACTATTGATTGATATATTCTTTTTCTGATTAATAATTGAATTACCAGAATATAATTAATTAATATTCTAAAATTTTAATTATAAATAATAATTATCACCTACTCCGTACTTCGCAACTACATTTGTCTTGTAGATCTTTCCATAAGTTTTTTTAATTTGTCCAATATAGATGTTCTCATTACCTTCTTTATTACTAAAATATCACAATTATTCCTACCTATTTTATTAATTACACCTCACCCACCTCATTTAATACACTCCATCCATTTTTATTAAGGTTATTTTTGTAAATTTTTACTTTTTTCTAATCTCCTTAAGAATCACAAAAGGTTAAAAGTTAAAATGAGAAAGAAATGGCCGGAGAAATTCCCTCACAAGGAAACTTTTTTGCATTAAATTCCTTGGAAAATTGCAGTTGCGAAATGTACAAAATGAGTTCTGAGAAATGTGCTCCTTTTGATTTTTCGAAACGCAAAAAACAACCAATGGGTGGGATATAATTTTAATTGCATTTCTCCTAGCTTCCACACAAATAGTAATTTATTTCCAGAAATATTCAAACCTTCTATACTTTTTCTATTTTCAATTTTTGAGAAAAATAAAAAATATATGGTACTTACGTATCTTTATTTTTCAATAAATTCTAACTACATAATATTTATTTTTAAACATTTTTTTAAATAAAGTGAAATCAAAGTGTGTAAATAAGAATTACAAATACAAAAAAAAAAAAAAAGTGAAGTGTGTTCAAACTAAAAAGAAAGTAAAAATGGTAAGGAACTCAACAAATATCATACCCATTATAACTAAAAAGATAAACAAGTTATCAAGCATTAACCAGAATAATGGTGACAACAAAGAGTAACACGAATAATTGTAAGAACACAGAGTAATTATTAATAAAAATACAAACAAAGTATCAAATTCATTCATGTCCCAGTTTCCCTACGATCCATCTCTCCATGCTATTGGTTGTGCTTACGTCTTCCAACTCATGGAATCTCTCCTTCTGGCCTCACTGGGAGATTTACGTGAAAGTCACCGTAAACAATTTTTTTAAAAAAAATGACTCGTTGAGTCCCTTTGTTGTAACACCTGATATAACTCTGAACAAAGTACCTGATGGGGAGGCAAATCGAGCTTTTGCACATTTTCGTTAATTCATATTGGTCAAGAGAAAAAGAAATAATAAGAAATCCTGGATCAACTCTACCCTCTTGGGGACTTTCTTAACCTTGGTTATTGGAAGCAGTTACTAAATTCATGAGCTGGCATGTACAGAAAGAAAACTTCATTCTTGATTCACGAGTTTTCTTTTCCTAGAATGTATCCTATATCCTAATTCACCTTCTAATCAAGAGGAAGATTTCTAGGCGGGGCAACAAGTCTTTGAAATGAGTGAAACACAACGTGAACATGAACACAAGATGATGGATACCCGAGAATGGGGGTATCCGGCCCAACGGGAGAGCGGCCCAGCCCAACCATGCTAAGGCCCACTTAGCTGGACAGAAGCAAGAATAATCTAAGGACCTAGGAAGGCCACCTCTGCAACAGATCACGCTCGGCCTCGGCAGGGTCGGTCGTCCTCAGACCACCCTCGGCCGGCCTTCTATCAAGGGACTTCAGGAAACAGATCATACGCACTCGGCCCGGGGCGTCAGCAGACCAGGCCCAGACATGGGAGTTGTCTAAGTAGTCAAGGTCAAGGGGCCCACGATGCATGGGACCCCTACCATACCTCTGGCAGAGTTGTTCTAGTCACCCTATTTGTAACCTATTTTGTATAGCAACCCTAGGGATAATGATGTGGTTAGCGCCGCCGGTGAACAATCCAATCTTAGTGGGCCAAGACCGTTGGACTCCGGACCAACGGTCGGGAACCCTCTGTTGTAATTCGCATATAAATCCCTTCCAAAAGATGGGGGAGGACGTTCTAACTAGCACAATAATACTCACAACTTACTTGATTCCCAACTTGTGCACTTTCGACTCAGTTTGATACTCTTCCGCCTAGTCTCCTAGGCCCCGGGTTCCTTAACCCAACAATGGTGCTTTCATTGAGAGTATCGGACGCATCTAGCGTGCTCTCAAAATCTTTAACCAAATTATTTTTCCAATTCTTCAATTGGCAAAAAAAAAAAGAAAAAAAAAACAGAGGAGAGTGGCCAGTAACTCCACTGTTGGGTCCGTTCACTGATGGGGGATTCACATGTTGGACACGATTTTATTATGTGGCCTGAGTTATCATTTATCTAATTAATTGATCATTGACCTAATAAATACCCTACGTATTTAATTGGTAATTATTCGATGGACGTAATTACCCTTATGACCTAATTAGGGTTTCCCCTTATATAGAGGTCATTAGGCAGAGAACAACACACCAATCTTACGCTTTCTCTCTGCCTCTCTATTCTCGTGAGTTATCCTCACCTTAGCCATCATAACGATACACCCTAAACGGGAACTCGATCTATCATGGCCTTATTCCTAACTACGTTTACAGGATTATCAGGTACACATGATTAAATCCCTAATTTATATTTTATGTTTAAGAATTGATCAACATGTGGTATCAGAGCAATATGTTGATTAATCAATTCTATTTTTGTTCCCTAAATTATTGAAATTGAAATCGGAAATCAGTTTTACCCTAACCAGAATGGATTTGAGATTCTCTGTTTTCTGATTTGACGGTGTATTAAAATAATAACAATAATAATAATAATAAACTAATACCACAGTTATCGGATAAACAAGTTCTAATCCTAATGACTCTTATCTCCGATTGGTTGGTGTTTCATGTTTCTTCAAAATCATTTAGTTATACGCCGTAATAATTTTCTTACTGACATCAAACAAAAAAAATGATCTGCTTTGGAAATCAATATGAATGTTTTGATTTCCCTAAATTCTAGATCGGGCTTTCTTCAAACTTTAGTCCATAAAACTTTGGGTTTTTTTTATTATTTTGAATGTCAGTAAGTATAAATTTTTGATAAATTATACATAATTCTTCATCCTTAGTTTGATTAAATAATTTTTTTTTTTGGTATTTGATTTGAAACATAATTTTGTTTCCTTAAACTGTATGGCATATCTTACTATTGCATAATGTATTCTTTTTCCTTATTTATTAATTTATTTTTACCTAGAATAGCAAAACTAAGTAAGGAATATGCTAAAATACCATAAAAATTTAAAATGTTTACTTGTTGGAAAATCTCTTGCCTTATATGCCTTTTGATTTTCTAATTAAATTAATCTCAATGGGTCCCCAAATTTTTTGTAGTCCTGCCCCGAATCGCTTTAACTTTTGCGATTAATTAATTACTTCCATTAAATTTATAAATCATTTGACTAATTTAAATAAAATTTATTTTATGTTAGTTAAACTGATTTATTTTGCTTGACTTGAATAATACCTTAGAATACACTTCTGCCCAAAGGTGATGTGTAACATTTGTAAAATTTATTTCAAGTCTTATTAAGCATTGTCATTTAGTGCATATCCTTAAATAGATATTTGCATGACACTCGCCTTAAATACATAATATTTCACTTCTGTCCAAAGATGATGTGTTATAATTGTGTACTGCGAACTAAATATATATGTGCATTAAAATTTAAATGTTTCACTTCTACCCAAAGGTGATGTGTTACATTCAAATTGCACATCATTATTTTATTATTTATAATGCTTAAACAAAGAGTAAATTCCCAAAATAGTCCTTCGTAATAAGGGTTTTTCCCAATTTAGTCCTCTTTAAAGACTAATGAACAATATAGTCCTCCATAATTAGGCTTATTCCTCATAGAAGTCCTTTTGTAAACTGCTGTTAAATCTCAGTTAAATAATTGGATAATTTTGTAATTTCAATTGTCATAATTCCTGTAAACATGTCGTCAGAAATTATAGAGGTGTGGGCGTTGGCGGTCAGCAAGAAGTGGCGAGAATAGTTGCACCCAATTGAGGCCAATAACACAAATACCACAAGGAAGAAAGCGGAAGGAGTCGAGAGACGGCGTGAATCACCGTCGTTGCTGCTGGAGGCGGCTGTGGTGGTGGTGGTAAAATTACTGCCGCTATTTCTGTTTCTCCATCCACCACCACCGCCG